GACACCTTGTTTTCAATGAAACTAGACTCCGAAGTCGTATTTTGATTTTAGAAACTGGTTTTAGTAAAAAGTTTAAAAAAATTTCAAGTCAGTAAAACAAATGACTAGTCGGTAAACAGGGAAATTGCAGTAACAGGCTGCCAGCAAAAACTAGTCATTTGTTATGCTTACTCGAAATTTTTTACTAAAATCAATTTCTGACATTAAAATGCTACTTCAGAGTTTAGTTTCATTGAAAACAAGGTGTCTGTTGTACGGAATACAAGAAAAAAAAAATATTGATCTCTATCAATTTGAATTGAATCGCCCGCTGAAGCTTTGACTGGCATTCTCCAGACTGCAGATTTCCCATGTACAGGCACCCTAAAGATTGGTATGTCAGTGACAGGAGCCGTACCATATAACTCTTTCCGCTTTGTGGGCCTATGTTATAACATAGGCCCGCAAAGCGAAGAAAAGTTATATGGTATGGACCTAGTTACTTACATACTTTTAATGCGGGAATAATCTTTACCCAACACTGGTTTATACTTAAGACAGTCAACCCTTACAGATCAGCACACCAAATCAGATCACCAAAACAACTGAGTCTGCAAAAAATAGAAGATGCTTCAGACACCAACGTCTTCGACGTTATACCAGAAGACGTTGGGAAAGCTACAAGTAGCTCCAAAGTTTCGGACTTTGTAATTTTTCTTCCGATCAGTCTAGGGTTTCAACAGCAGGCCAGAGAAGATCACCCTGATAGACCAGTCGAAAATCTGTTCAACCTAAAAGTTGATATCCAAAGGGTCATTTTTGATATTATATGCAATCGAACTCGTAGATTACGGGAAAAATAGTAAAAAACGTAGATTCTTAGTCAAACTATGTAAAATAGCGGCTAAAAGTTTATTTTGCAAATTTTGCGTAAATGGTAAGAGATAGGATGTAAATAAAAATATCAGCGTGTAGAGCGGAAAATTCTCTATCGATTTGGTCTTTCATTTTTTTTTGACCAGCGCAAAATTTCGACTTAAAAAATTCTGAAAGTATTTTGGCACGTACCTATGAGAGTGAGTGAGACAGAGTGAGAGATCACACTAGCAGACGATTGCAGGCACGAGGAGAGAGGAGAGAGCCGGTGCTATATATATGTAGCTCTAGTAGCTGCGACGCACTCGATCGCCTTCCGGCAGAAATATCCACTTCAGCTTTTGGCCCGAAAATTTTTCTAAGTCCTAATAACATTAATACGGGGAAAAAAAATTTGTTCTCCAGACATGATGTTTTTTATACATTATCTACGATTTCCTAGCGAATAAACATAGTCTCCAGTAACATTTTTTTCCAAATTAAAATCTTATTTTTCTTATTTTATTGGTTTTAAAATTTTATTTCGTTGTAGAAAATATGTTNCTAATTATTATACCTAATATTCATTCACGTTATATCGACCGGAGAATATTTTTTTCCCGTGCGTATGATCTATTATACCGGAATATCACAACTCTTAAAATTTACTGACTTCCAAATGGCTTATCAACTTTCATATGGTCTCCTACTTCCATATGGTTTACCTACTTCCATATGGTTTATCCATATGGATATTTGAAACAAAAGCCATATGGAAGAACCACATGGATTTTCCATACGGAAAATGTATATTGTTTTTTTTCAATAGAGAAGAACCCTAGCCTCACAAAAATTTAACCGAGTTCTTAATAGGCAATAATTTAGCTGTGTGGTAAGTTTTATGAAGATCTCATCATTATTTTTGTTTGGGATATAACTATCTTAAACCTTTTTCATCGCACGGAACTTGTAATTTTACCGAAAATTTTGTATACGTGTCAATTTTAGTGAGCGCCTTAGGTTATGCGGGGATTGGCGCTTGCCTTATTTTTTATTTATTACTAATAGTTAAAGCGACTAGGAAGCATGCCATGTTTTGCGGGGATTGGTGCTTTCCTTATTTTTTTATTTATTACTAATAATTTAAGCGACTAGGAAACATCCTGAGTTAAGAGGGGATGGGCCCTTGNNGAGCCCACACATTGGGGGTGGAGAAAGACAAAGACCATTTTATTTCCGATAATAATCACACAAACGCCAGCTCCTAATGACGTTTTGCGACAGGTATGCAATGATATATCATTAGTGTTTAGTCAAAATAAAGGCAAATTCTTGGTCACGTTAGTTAGTTAAATATTAAATTTTCTTCCTCACAGATTTTCTGCTCCTGTCGTAAAAATTGTCAAAAAAAACAATGCACGTGCAAAAAAGCAGGTTTGATGTGTACACGTATGTGTAAAAATTGCAACGGAGACAATTGTGAAAATGGTTCCACCACGAGACCAGTAATTGATGAAGACTCTTTCGATGATGTGATTAATGACGTTGTCGACATGCAAGAGGAAACGACGGAAGAAGGTCATGTGGGGTACCATACTCAGTCCTCCCTCAATATGTATACTCCAGATAGTAGCATTTATGATTTTTGCGAATAAATAAATTTTGTTTACTATCAATTTAATATTTATTTTTGATCGTATGCTTCACAATAAGTTGTTCTCTATTTCTTTTCATTGGAAAATGTCATTCAAAAATCATTTCTCAGAGACTTTTTTATTTAACCATTATCAGTTTTTTTTGGGGACTTTGAAATTGTGTCGCAATTCAAATATAAAAAGCCGATCCATCGTGTGTTCAACTGTTCGCCCCTCTCTTGCCCCTCCGCACAGCTATGCAATACATAACATATTTTCTACAACGAAATAAAATTTTAAAACCAATAAAATAAGAAAAATAAGATTTTAATTTGGAAAAAAATGTTACTGGAGACTATGTTTATTCGCTAGGAAATCGTAGATAATGTATAAAAAACATCATGTCTGGAGAACAAATTTTTTTTCCCCGTATTAATGTTATTAGGACTTAGAAAAATTTTCGGGCCAAAAGCTGAAGTGGATATTTCAGCCGGAAGGCGATCGAGTGCGTCGCAGCTACTAGAGCTACATATATATAGCACCGGCTCTCTCCTCTCTCCTCGTGCCTGCAATCGTCTGCTAGTGTGATCTCTCACTCTGTCTCACTCACTCTCATAGGTACGTGCCAAAATACTTTCAGAATTTTTTAACTCGAAATTTTGCGCTGGTCAAAAAAAAAATGAAAGACCAAATCGATAGAGAATTTTCCGCTCTACACGCTGATATTTTTATTTACATCCTATCTCTTACCATTTACGCGAAATTTGCAAAATAAACTTTTAGCCGCTATTTTACATAGTTTGACTAAGAATCTACGTTTTTTACTATTTTTCCCGTAATCTACGAGTTCGATTGCATATAATATCAAAAATGACCCTTTGGATATCAACTTTTAGGTTGAACAGATTTTCGACTGGTCTACTGAGGTATCGAGGCAGTCACGTTTGCTGGAAACTCCAGCCAAGAAAGAGTTTACTTAAGAAGTTCATCGGTCCTTTTTAGGGACATCGGACGTCGAACTACCTTGCCAACAATTATATTAGAACTTAATAAAGTTGACAAAAAACAGCGTTCAGGGCTCACAAAAGTCGCAAGAGACCGAATTAAAAAAAAAACGTTTTGTGCATCTAATGAATACAATTTTAGGCGTCAAGAAACTGACGCAGAACATTTATCGAGATTGAAACCGCAGCGTCAAAATTGATAAATAAATAATCCATTGCGTGAGAGATCAGCTTTTAAATCAGTACCCTCACAGTAATCTCTTAAATCTTCTAGATTTTTGAATAGGTATAATATGTATTTTTTTTTTTGGCGATAAAAAATGTAAGGATGAATCTCAAGGACTTAGTTGCTCTGACAAAAAAATTGTGAGATAAGAGAAACAAAATTTTGTTACAATATATATATATATATATATATATATATTGGGAATTTCAAATCTTAATAGCTTTAAAATAGCCCTTTTCGAAGATTATACGGGAGAAACTGCCAATCAACGGCATTTCAAGGCCAACGATCATTTTGTGGCATAAGGAACGCACGGTACTTTTCAGCATAATCATATTTTTTTTACTTTTGACAGCTTAATATTTTACCAAATAAACTGTATGGATTTCGAACAAATATGTTTTTGTTAAGAAGATTTGTGTTTTGAGAAGTGTCAGGAATAGATGTAAAATTTCTAACTGAAAATATTTTACATTACATATATGTCAACACACTACGGTGTTCCATTTAGTAAGTCTCAGGCGAAGCCGAGACGGGGGGCCGCTAGTGTTGTAGTTATAGTTGTGCCATATGATCTTTTTTATTGACCAGCCGCAATTTTTACTAATGAATAGAAAATAATATGTTGTGACATGTCAGTTCATTTGCGGCAAGATTAGAATGCATCTTGTACCCTAAAATCGACCTGAAAATAATAGACCTCCTACACGATCTTATCTGTAATAATCATCTAAGATAATAGATGATGTGTTGTAGAGACCATTATAGATAAGAATACAATATCTATTTTTTGAAGGTCGATTTTCGGGTACAAGATGCATACTAATCTTGCCGTAAATGGCACTTCCAGATTATTACTTTTTATTGTACATCTATTGGTGTAAATTGCGGCTGGTAAATAAAAAAGATTATATGACTCAACTATAATTATAACATAACTCTCTACCACAATAAAATATGACCGAAATATTTCGGATCTGCAGGAATCGTAAGGTTCCTCAATTATGGTGAAAGTGGCGGCAGGTTAAAATTTTGACCACTCTTTGGCCTTAGCTCTTGGTCTATAACATTTAAGGCTGACGCAGTCAAATTGACACAAGGTGCAAAGTGCACAGTGCACACGAAAAACATTGGTTGGTATACCTATATACATAATACACTGCGCGTTGTGCTTTACGATTTTACATATATAGATATACCAACCGATGTTATTCTTGTGCACTGAGCACTGTGCACCTTATGTCAATTTGACTGCGTACTGCGTAGGCCTTAAAACCTAAACAGAAAATTGTCTGCTGAAAATATTGGACGTATTCTAAATGACGCGACACTTGGGTGTCGTGCGACACATTAGTATTGGTTTTAAATAGGACTGTGTGACTCTCGCGTTATTTGGAATGCTCATTGTAACGTAAGTTGCCATAACGAAGACATTTCTTCTACTTTGATAAAACATTAGGACTCTAGGACAGACAAAAGGCTAAACGAGGACGTCTGGTAACACTACAATACAGTATTACTTATTGTCATTGGCTTTTTCTAGTTTCCAAAATGCAACAAAGATTCTTGCAATTGTCACCCGTAGTGTTTGAATTTGTTAGACTGACATCTAATCATTCTATTATTCTGGATATGATAAAAGTCAAGTCGACTTGTTTTGATGCACTTATAGATCCCAAAGTGAGGAAAATAAGGAACAAACTTTTGTACTGCGATTACATTGAAAATAATAAATTAAAATACGGTTTTAAAAAAAATTTTAGAATAAAATGCAAATTAAAGTATAAGTTTGAAAAAGAATTAAAAAATGATAAAAGAGTTGCCTCAATTGTAGCTACTAAATTAGTAAGTAAAAACCTATGTGTTCGGAAAGAACTTGAATATGCAAGGCTTCATCCAAGGTTTATGTTCAAGGATGAGAGTAACATGAATATATGCTGTTCAAATGAAAATTCTACTTTCGAATCAATTAAAAAACAATACACTCTTGATGAAAAAGAAGTTAAGGATTGCATTAGTTACAGCAATTTGAATAGTAATAAAAAACTCACTAATGAGTTAAAATTGCAGTTATTGAATACTACAAAAACTTATTCTCACTGGATGACTGATTATGAAGTGTATAATGATGCTCTTCAAACAACTTCACACAATTCAAAATATGGTACACCGAACCCTTACAGTCAATCAAGTTCTATTCCTTGTGGTGGTTGTGGAGCGTTATTGCATTGCAAAGATAACAATCTTCCGGGTTATTTACCTTCTGAATTGTATGCACATTCAAGCAAAGACGTTTTAAAAACAATCACATGTCAACGATGCCATTTCATGAAGTACTACAATACTTGTCTTTATGTGAGACCAAGTGAGGATAACAATAATTTAATCAAACAATTGAACATCGACAAGAAAGCAGCTCTAATACTGTTAATAGATCTTACAGATTTTCCTTGTAGTATATGGTCTGAGTTGTCCTTATGTTTAAGTAATGAAAGATGCATTTTTATCGTAGGCAATAAAATTGATCTTTTACCCAGAGATTCTCCACATTTCTTAGATAATATAAGAGATTGCCTAAAAGAATCAATTATGAGAACTGGAATTTCTAAAACAAATATTAAATACATTGGTCTTATCTCAGCTAAAACTGGTTATGGCGTGGAAGAACTAGTCAATAAGATGCATACTATTTGGCAGTACAAAGGTTAATATTGAAACTTTAGTACAATTCCATATTATGTTTCATTTGTTGTGTTACATTTTATCTATTTAAAATTTTTTACTAACTAAATGACTTAGCGAATGGAATAGAAATTAATTTTAACCATGAAGTCTGTATTTTGTTGTATGATTGTTCAGATGAATGCTGATGCAGAAACACTGGATTAAAATTCCGTGTAAAACAACATCGATTGATTCTACTGCTGCATAGGAGAAATATGTAGTATTAGTCTTGGCCCAATCATGCTAGATAATATATTTTTTCTTGTAGAAAACTTAAGCTGTTATAATTTCATCTCACATTTAAAAGTTTTTTAATTTTCATTGTTTATAGGGGATACTAACTATATTATTTGTCGATTATAGAGGAATGTCTGGCTGAAAAAATTTAAAGTGTAAAACACAACTATAGTTGTCTTGGATTGTCACTGTCAGTATAAAAAATACGGTCCAAATCCACTAGCCCTCCTATTTAAACTTTTAAAACTAAATTTTTATAGAAGAGAAACAATATTGACTGTAAAATTAGTTAATACCCGAGTGGAAACTGTGATACTGTCAAACCTTGCTGAACTTAGCCTAACTCTGCAAACTCTGCCAAACTCCAGCGATTCGGACCTTTAGCAAAGTTTTGCAGCGTTTGGCAGAGTTAGACAGAGTTATGCCGGGTTAGGCAGAGTTAGGCAAGGAATGGCAGAGTTATTCAAGATTTGGCAAATATAGGCAAGGAATTTAAGGCACATTTTGGCAAAGCTAAGCAATTTTATGGAAAGTTACGCAAGGTCAGTCAGATTAAGTTGAAAGGTAAGTCAGGCTGAGTTAAGAAAAATGAAAATTAAAAATATTAGAAATAAAAATATAATCACTAGATTTGTTTGATTACGAGGCTCCGAGCGCTCGGAGCGCTCTGAACTCTAGTCCGAACACGCGTTTTTGCTCCGACCGCTCCGAGAACTCCAACTGCTCCACACGTGCTCATAATCAGGCAAACCAAAAAAGCCGTAAGAGAGCCAGCCATGAATTATCTTAACCTATTGTCTATAGATAATTAACTTACACTAGATTACAAGTAAATCGGGCATTACTACGGATTTTTTGGGTCACCTAGGCCGAAAGCATGTGTGGAGCAGTTGGAGCGCTCGGAGCAAAAACGCGTTTCCGGGCTAAAGTTCTAAGCACTCCGATCGCTCCGAGCGCTTGGAACCTGTTAATCGAACAAATCTACTATATTTTTTCAATTTTTATTTATTTATTTATTACCTATCGTATTGGCTCTCTGCATAGAGTTGGTGCCTGCCATGGGTACTATTTGCTTCCATAAGATTTAACATGGCTTAGGGGTATAAAATAAGCTTATTTCATACTCCTAGGGCAGCACGATGTTTGCATGGAGCCAATAAATGAGTTAGATGCTGTTTCTGTAAGTGTACATATAAAACAATCCAAAATATAACACTGCTAAAAAAAATCAGCTGATTTGTCAGCTGATTTATCAGCTGATTTCCGATGCCAAATCGTCAGCTGATTTTTTGACTGTGCGAAAAAATAAAAGTCCCATCAGTGTGAAAAAATACAAGTCCCGACGGAAACATTTTTTTTTTGGCCATCATCAAAACTATGCATTCTGGGACTTTTACAATAAAATGAGATAGGTGACACTTGTGAGTTTTAAAAATTTTTCGATAGCCAAAATTGCAAGTTCCGTGCTCTGAAAAAGTATTAAAAATTTTGCGATAGCCAAAATTACAAGTTCCATGCGCTGAAAAAGTATTGAAAATTTTGCGATAGCCAAAATTACAAGTTCCGTGCGCTGAAAAAAGTTGAAGTCCCGTCAGTGAGAAAAATACAAGTCCCAAAAAAAAAAAAATACATTTACGAACATGAAAAATCTGCATTTTAGGACATTTACAGTAGAATGAGACAGGTTACAATCAAGAGATTTGAAAAATTTTTGATAGCAAAATTGTTACGTTCCGTGCGCTAAAAACAATTAACTTCCATCATCGCGAAAAAAACAAGTGTAGTCGAAAATTTTTTTTGCCATCATCAAAACTATGCGTTATGGGACATTTACAGTATGACGAGATAGATAAAAATTGAGAGGTTTAAAAAATTTTCGGTAAAATTACAAGTTCCGTGCGCTGAAAAAGGTTTAAGGTAGTTATATCCCAAACAAAAATAATAATGAGATCTTCATGAAACTTACCACACAGCTAAATTATTGCCTATTATGAAATCGGTTAAATTTTTGTGAAGCTAGATAGGGTTCCCAGCAAGCAAAATTTTGATATTCATTGTTTTCATACTTTAACATGGATCCTTACGGAGAAATGTATTTTTCTGGGCTTTAATTGCGTATATCCCACAAAATAGTCGTAAACTTTTAAAGATATTTTTTTTGTGTATTTTAAAAATAGTTAATGATCTTATTTAATTTTGTGAAACATCTCGAGGGTGTCTGTGAGATAAGAAATAAATTAATAAGTGCAGAAAAAGCTGCTAAAGGTTATGTTTTAGCATAAGTGTAAGAGGGATGGATGACATACCAAACTGTTGAATCTGCTGCATTGACAATATCGTGGGATACAACCACCTTAAGTCCCATCAGTGTGACAAAATACAAGTCCCGACGGAAACATTTTTTTTGTCCATTAAATCAATGCGTTTTGGATCATTTACAGTCAAATTAAGTAGGTGAAAATTGAGAGGTTTGAAAAATTTTCGATAGCAAAAATTACAAGTTTCGAGCGCTAAAAAAAGTTTAAGTCTCTTTAGTGCCAAAAAATACAAGTTCCAAAGAAAAAACGAATATATTTAGGAACATTAAAAGTCTGTATTTTGAGACATTTACAATAGAATGTGACAGGTAAAAATTTTTTAAACCTCTTAATTCTCCCTGATCTCATTTTACTGTGAATGTCCCAAAACGCATTGTTTGGATGATGGTAAAAGAAAAAAAATTTCCGTCGGGACTTGTATTTTGTCACATTGACGGGACTTATACTTTTTCAGCGTATGGAACTTGTAATTTTGGCTATCGAAATACTTTTTCAATACTTTTTCAGCGCACGGAACTTGCAATTTTGGCTATCGAAAAATTTTTAAACTTCTCAAGTGTAACCTATCTCATTTTAATGTATAAGTTCCAGAATGCATAGTTTTGATGAGGCCAAAAAAAAATTTTTCCTTGGGACTTGTATTTTTTCACACAGTCAAAAAATCAGCTGACGATTTGGCATAAGAAATCAGCTGATTTATCAGCTGACAAATCAGCTGATTATTTTTAGCAGTGTATACATGTACTCCATACATGAATAAACATCTACGTTCACACAATTTCACACAGAACAGTATCGCACCAAATGGGACTAGCACATATTTTTTATAAGTCAATAAAAAAATCAATCTTCTTTACTTGTATTTGAGGTGATTACTTACCAACTTTTTTTTAGCACTTGAATTACTAGAAATAGAGTTTTTATGATAGTTATTAGNAACGTTAATAGTATTCATAAATGTACAAAATATTCTAGAATTATTTATTCTAACTAAAGATATACAACCAATAAATATTTAAGATAGCAGAAAAAAAATTATTTTATTGTTGAAACTACAACTAACGATTGCGGTATTATAACGAACGTACGCAAAATTGATTATGAAAGTTTTTAAAAAGTTTTTATTTTTATTAAAAAGCTTACAAAATCTAATAATTTTTTTTAAATGCAGGACACACGCATGATTCTCGTTAAAATTATGTCGATAAATATCAGAAAACGCATTTAAATGTCATAGAACCATCTATGTTACTAAGATCTTGTATGCTATCGCAATTTGATAAGATAGTAGAAGATTTGTATTACCAACATTAAATTAAGGTGTGCTAAGCATATACTGTAACTGGTATATTAAAGTTTAAAGATGATATGATTGTAATGTATTCTGTCTATATTTACTAATAGCCCAATATACCAAGAACCCTATAAAAATCAAATATTTATTTTTATATATGGACCGGACATGCTGCATAAAAATGTTTAATAGTGAGGTGTATGTTTTACTATAGGTTAATACATTGATAGAAGATAGTGTGTGTTTACTCCTGCGCACGTGCATGAATTATAAATTTAACTATTAAACTTCAGTCTGGAACTGTCATAACTTTGTTTAATTCTGCTTAATTATACCAAACTATGCCGAAAATTGCCAAATATTGCTTAAATTTTTCGAATCTTGCATAACTTTGCTAAACCTTGACTAACATATATTTGTTAAACTTTGCCTAACGTTGCCAAACTTTGCTAGAATCTGCCAAACTCTGCCTAACTCTGCTAAAAGTCCGAATCGCCGGAGTTTGGCAATGTTTGGCAGAGTTTGGCAAAGTTTGCCAGAGATTGGCCAGGTTTGACAGTATTACCGTTTCCACTCGGGTAGCCGGCATGATTGTGCCATTAAACTATTTCTCCATGTATTCTAATCACAATATGAAGCGATTCCAATCATTTTCGTCGTAGTTGCTGAAAACTCTTAAGTGACCATTTTTTGAGGTTTCAATGCTTCATATATTAAGCTACATGGTATAAGTTAAAATGTTTAGAAACTTTTCGACATTTATTATTATGTTTGTCTGAACATGGACTCCGTGAGGTATTAGGACCATGCCACATTTGTTTTATAGCTAACTTTGCAAGATTTTCACTATTCAAAGGTACTTAAGCTGATATTATCTTGTTGACCTATTTTATAGTAGTTATTTTATTGATCGGATGTAATATTATAAAAAGACTTGTGTATGGTAGAACGCATTTCAATTCTGTAGTAAGAGCGTAAACTAATACTTCTGCTAATGAACATCTGTGATTTCACCTGATTTCTCATCTGCTTTCTCAGGTGAGATCTTAGGTGATGTCTCATGTCCAAAACTCAGGTGAGATCTCATCTGAGGAATCATGCGTAAAGTCAGATGAAATTTTTAAGAAAATG